GCTTGACTTCAACATTATTTCGGACTGGTCAGCTCAAGATACCCTACCGTACAATGTGGGAAAATGTCGCACTGCGCAGTCACGCCAAAGGCATGACTACGTATATTGGCTTGGATCACACATATTGCAAACCACTTCACAGGAATGCGACCTTGGTGTGCTCACTCAAAGTGACTTTAACTGTTCAAAACAGTTGGAGGCAACTGCGAAAATAGGCAACCATCACGCTGGTCTTCTGCGGAGCGCTATCTGGAGTTTGACACACCCATCTCTTGCGTGCACCATCACGTTGAATACGCCACCCAAACCTAGTAACCTTGGTTGAATTGCGACCTGGAGGTGGTAGATACACCCCAACGCATGGCCACAAGAGGTCAAGGAAATCCGTCTTACCAGCGAAGGCTGAATTCACTGGGAGTTTTCAGTGGAAGCTACAGAAGACTGCGCAGCAATATCATATTAGTGTATCAAATATTGAGTGACACCAACCACGTAGACACCGACCCTATACCTTGCTGCCCGGAACTTACAACAAGCGGCATAGATAAAATCGAGATTTCTCTTTCCATCATCCAATAGGCTATGAAGTCCATCAAACCATCGCTCAAACCAGACTCCAACGGCATCCCCCATTCAGTTATTAAACCTGGCATACCACTGCTTTTGCTAAACATGTTCACCTTGTCCTTAGAACCCAAGGAACAATGAACAATGAATTTATACGGGTTAAGAAGCGTTGCTTTACAAGCCCCGTTGGATAGTTGGTGGGGATATCAACATAATAATTATGATGAAAAGGATAGTAAAATAGTTAACACTTTAAATACGAAAATAAGGACTTATCGTTTGCTTCGCTGCAGTCTTGCGATTCACTTAGATTCACAACACCCACAGTTAACAACAAATAATTCCAGGGTAAACTCCAGGTGTAGGATGGAGACATAGTGTTAAGTAACAAAGTGTAAGTGGATGAGTGCATCGTCCAACCGTCTTTTAAATATTGTTAGTGTCGGTGCAGAGACGACCGATTCTGGGAGAGCATTCCACGGGTGACAGACACGGATGGAAAAGAAATTTCTGCGGCACTCCAGACGACTGTATTGTTCTGCGAGTTTTAATGAGTGGCCCCCTCAGGTTTGTATTGCTGCTGAGTTGCAGTAAAGTTCGGCACACATGATGTGGGTCTCGCAGAATCAAGTATGTCATAATCAGGTCGCCTCGTAGCATGCGATAGCTTCCACTGAACAATCCTAGTCGTCGCAGCCTCTCTTGGTAGGACAGATTGCGCATTCCAGTTACGTTCTTAGATGCCCGGCGTTGAGGCTGCTCCAGTGCATTAAGGTCGTGTTTCAGCCATGGATGCCAGGCTTGAATTGCGTATTCGACATGGGGCCGAACATATGCACTGAGCATTTGTCGAAATATGGAGCTGTTTATTTGTTCAAACGCCCGCCTCAACAGCCCGACGTCTTGGTTCCCGGTCTTCGAGGCCTTTTCGGATTGCCTGGAGCAACCCAAGTCATCTTGAACCAGGACACCCAAGTCACCTTCGAGAGTTGATTGTTACAGTACACCCGTTCCGAGTCGGTATGAGTAGCTGCCGTGATGTCGGATGGAAAGCACCTTGCATTTACTGACGTTGAAATGCAATAAGTTTTGGATCGACCAGTGATACACTGTATCTAAGTCACTTAGGAGCACAAGTTGGTCGGCGTTCGCCTGGATCCTGCGCCAGATCTTGATATCGTCGGCAAATATTAGGAAGTTTGAAGCGATTCCCTGTGCAAGGTCATTAATAAACACCAGAAACAAACGTGGACCTAGAACCGAGCCTTGCGGCACACCACACTCGACTTGTATGGAGTCCGATAAAGAGCTCCCAACTCTAACCACTAATTGCCTTTGAAACAGAAAGTTGGCGATCCAGCTTAAAAGTGGGTCGCCGATCCCGTAATGCTGCAGCTTGGATAGTAGTATCCGATGGTCTAGACTATCGAAAGCCTTGGAAAAATCCAGGTAGATCACATCAACACCTTCTCCAGCGTCGGCTGCCTCGGTCCAACTACTGCGTGCAATGAGTAAATTAGTTGTACATGAGCGCTGTCGATGGAAACCGTGCTGCTCAGGCGTGATGATGTTACATTTTCCAGATAGCACACCAGTGCATCGGCAACTATGGAATTCATGACCTTGGAGAGTATAGGAAGAAGGGACACTGGGCGATAGGTGGAGGGATCAGATGTGCCTCTACATTTATAAATCGGGGTTATTATTCCAAGGTTCCACATGGCGGGAACTTGGTTCCGGTCTAAGCAGTGCTGAAAGAACTGAGCTAAAGATCCTGCCAGTTGGTTTGCTGCCTCTGGACGAATGGCGTCGACACCCGGCGAGCTGTGTTAGCCTATAGAAGTCAACTTTTGCAATACAGCCTCTGCGGTAAAAGTGATATGTGTTAGTCCTGGTGAGCAGAAGACAAAGCTTGGTAGATCGTTTGGTGGCAAGAATCTTTGAAACGTGGAAGCGTATTGCATCTGCAGCGTGTTCGCAGCTTCCATAGACGTTCATCGTTGGGCCATCAGCCAGCTACTTCCCGGATCAGTGGAAAACATCGTTTATTGTTCATCGTCATAAAGGTAGGACCAAACAGCACGTCACTAATTATCGACCTATCCATCATACTCCCGTCATCGATAGATTACTCGAAAAATTAGTTAAAAGTGGAATCATGGAGTTTCTCCATCGTCATGAGCTACTCAAGAAATCCCAGCATGGGTTCCTCGACAAACGTTCCTGTACAACTTGTCAGTTGCACTACAAGGATTATATCACAGAAGCTATTGGTTCGAAATATGCAGTTATAATACTGTTCCTGGATATGCAGAATGCATTCGACAGAGTGCCCTGCAAGTGACTACTAAAAGGAATCGAGTCGTTTGAAATCAGAGACTCACTATTTGGTTGCTTGACGTCATATCTAAATGGGCGTTACCGGACAGTTACTCTGGGTAATCATAACTCCTCCCCACGTCCAAGCACTAGTGGTGTCATCCAAGGGTGTGTACTTGGTCCTTCGCGTTTCCTACTTTATATTAACGATATCACGGTGTTCATAAAATATAGCAGGCCATTTTTGTTCGCCGATGACATACAGATTATTTATTTCGACGAGGCGAACTTAGTAGCGCAATGCTCTTAGTTCAAGAATACGTCGATTCATTTGAGAAATGTTGCAACACATAGATGCTAAATTTCTCAGCTAGTAAATCATGCATTATGTCACACGCCTGTTTAATCCCTGAACAGTCTGTTAAACTGAACAATGAACTTATCTGTGTGAAACTATCCAACTGTGATCTAGGCATACGATACTCTTCAAACTTTAATTGCTCAGAGCAAGCTGAGTATCAAATAACACGTGCCAAACCATCTGTGACTAATATATGCCTTAAAATCTATACAACCCCTGCCAGACTCGAGCTTTTCAAAATACTTACACATCTAGTCCTTGAATACTACAGCATCATCTATGGGAACATGCGAATGGGTGACAGGAAAGCTTTAGAAAACCTGCAAAGACCATGCATAAAGCGCTTGTTCATTAACTCAACCATCTTGAGTTATTATCAACGTAGCTAGCAGCTTAAGTTTGACCCCCTTTGGTCGCGACGACTGAAACATAACCTGATGCTGATACACAATCTCATAAACAAAAAGACATACTCCAATCTGTGTACACTTAAAATTCAACATAACTTCACTTGGAATATACGCAACAAGACCTGTACATTAGGTGTATCGAGAACCAGGACAACTATCCGATCCAACTTCTTCCTCGTCAGATACGCTGTCGTGTGGAATAGCCTACCAGCTACAATCAGGTCTTGCACAAATGCAAGAGCATTCCACATTCAGCTTAGCAAATTCCTTGACCAGAACTCGATAATGACCATGTTTCATTCGGGTAAATCACCACACGAGTTCTTTCAGGATGGAGCAAGGATCAATGGTTAAAGACGGTACAAAGAACCCAGCAACAACAACAGTTACGTGATTCCAAATTATTTTGATATCATACAACCCATATTAAATATTTCACTCATGCATGAGCATGATAATTATTGGATCCAGGATCCGTCCACAATCAAGGGACAGTTTCTCGTACAATCGCGAAATATACGTACTATTATTATTATTATTAGTAGTAGTAGTATTATAATATGCCGTCATTTGCTTAAACTGAGTCATAACACCAAGCTCAGAGGTAACTGTCTGAAACGGAGTGAAAAGTATGCCCGTCTGAAATGCCAGCGGAATCATTTTTATATTCGGGTTTGCCAACCCTAGAAATCTCTCCCAAAATGGTGTTTCCTAACCCACCATGGATTTGTTTGAAAAACAATTGGACATTGTCCTTGGCCCCTATCACTTCGTAACCTAAGATGTGCTGCTTTGGAATATATTAATCGTGCCTTCAACCCGGATTATGTCACATAGACCTAAAGAGGCGGTACAGAAGTGAGTATGCTTATTTTGACTTTTCTCACGGAGTACATCAGCTGTAACTGCCCCCATGTGATCTTGTTGTTGTTTATATTCAATACGCATTGACACTTCTGTGATGCAGCCGCGTGGCGGCTCAATAGGCGCTCAAACAGACAACTCACCTATCCTTTGACACGGTAGTTTTACCCCTACCATCCTGCGGGAATTTTCAAGCAAATGCATTTTCACTCGGGATAAACCACTGATTATTGTATCAATCAACACTTCCTCATGCATATAATGTGAAAGTACACGAAGAGATGAAGCATTTCAATTGACGGGGTCAATGAAACCGGATGAAATCATTAACACAGGGCAGAATTCACAGACGATTGGGTAGCAGCGGAAGATGAGTCTAGCTGCATCACGGTTAATGGGAAGGAAAGTAACAAGAAATGAGTGAAATGTGTCATGGATTTTTCACCCGAATAAGGAAGAACCGACATCGAGGGTACAAATCACAGCACATCACCACGTGGCACAGCCTCGGGAACCGGTGTCTTTAGCCCATTTGACACAGAGGAGGGCAAACAAGACAGCCAAACATTGATCGTCTGGACGGCATTTTCCAAAGCGCGTCGCTCAGTCGTCCGACCCACAATCGAGCCCCACACCAATGCAAATAAAGTGGCTCCGATTATGACAAAAGTGAACATCCCCACGACATTAGTGGCCAAATTGGAGTGTGGTAAGCACGTGGGAAGCATCAGCGCTAGCAACATCATCAGGAGGGAGATGGATAGGTGAAATTGCCGCATCTTTCGGCAGATGCGCAACCCACGAACGATACGCTCACGCATCTCGAGTAGCAACGGCTCCAGCTTGGAAGGTTCCGCGGTATTCGATATGGCTGGGTGGAGTTCAAGAGGGTGGGGAAACAGTTAGCATTGTTGCAGTGGAAAATCTAATGAAATACAAGAGTGTTGGACACCACTTAGGATTGTCAATGAGTCAAAAAAGCCAAAACTGTGAGCAAAATATGCGCACCTGAGAAGGCGGAAATTACAGTCCGAATGTTTCGCAGGACAGGAATCCAACGCTGTGGAAGGAGATCTGACGCCAATGAATATGACAAGCGGGTTGAACTGGAAGCCGGGTGACTGTGGATAGCCGCGCAAGCAATCGGTTCGAGGTCAAACCATCAAAAATTACTGTGAAACCCATTTGGATCACCGATTCAATATTTACCTGCGTTATATATCTCGATATCATTATTCGTGCCTATCGAGATCTTCGCATCCGCTAATCAATTTGCTTTTTCAACATGGAAACGTGTATCACAGCCACATCCCACACCTTGGATTACATGAATCTGCACAGTTACTTTGTCAAGAGTACACTTGAGGAAACAGCAGCTGTCGCATATCAGCTTTCACGAAACATATCTTACCTTCTTTGGTGCGCCTCGTGTAAAATCCAGAATATACATTTATGTATGCATTTGTCTCGGCTAATTCGTTGGTGTGTCTTAACCCGCACACTCTAATTTTGGCCTACCAATTCAGCTCACAAGAGAAACTTGTAATGGATAGAAAATACATCAGTGTTCCTCTCTAGCGGATGTACGAATGTCTCGATTTAGAAATGCATGTCAATGATAGGGTGGGAACACCATTACTCTGGACGAAGTGGCACCAGCATTAGGTGCACGAGAAACATCATATCGTAGCACATAAACACCAAATGTTGAATAGTGCGCGAATTAAATTTATCGCAACTTTGGTACCGGTTGATAGTGAAGTAAGCTACGTACATCTCAGAGTAGGGGCGAAAATGCAGATCAAATATGACTGCGAAAATGTCGATTGCTCGGAGAATGCAAGCAAACCCATCAGCCTACATCGAAATCCAGTATCCTCACTGATACGAACGCTTTTGAGGATAACTCTGTAATGAAAAAGCGAGCCCACTGCGACTGACACTTATGCTCCAGAACGGTGCTCACTCTAAAAGGAAACGGCAGTACGCCGGTACGCCGCATCAACGCTTCACCGCCTCGCAACCACAATCAGTAGTGCGTGGCCTAAGGATACTGCGAGGGTCGTCCGTTGCCCCAATCCGGCTCGAACCCACAACCTCCGGGTTGCACGACACACGTTGTCCTTTCCGCTACGGGCGGTGTTCAGTCTAAATCGGGATTCCAATCCGTTACAACGATTAGTTCAATTTAAATCGTTAGACTGCAGTCAAATCCCGTGTCCAGTCAAGAGTGGTCCTCCTGAGACTGATCACCGCCAAATATCTTGAGCAGGACGGCCCAGTAGATGGTCGTTGAATGTGATAAATGGTCGAGGCGCCCCATTAGGTGTCGATGGAAGCGCGAACACAGATGGCTGCACAATAACTCACAAAGGTCGCATCGCGCCGGAACCAGTCGATATAAATGTCCCGAGAATGGACCGAACGCGAGTCGCGGTGAAACGGTTGGACAAACCGCTGGCACTTGATAAACTCCACACCTAATGAAAATAGGGAGAACAGCAGGTGTACGCTGAGATTGCGAGCGTGACAGCAATAATCAGCCAGTCAATCTGGTTGCAGAATACCGAGTAAATTGTTCGCGATTCAGACAACATAGTGTAAGTGGTGGCTTCGAAATCTGTTCCACGGAATAGTTAAGAGGGAACAAATGTAGCGGTTAACGTTCAGTTTCGTTAGAAAATGGTCCGTGCGTAGGGTTCTCCTCGGCTATGTTAAGAGATTCGAGGTGTCCGTTCCAACTTACGCCGTAGAATATCGGAACAGCTTTGTAGATAAGTGTCCGGAATCGATCGCACGGGGCGACAGTTTTGTCAGTGACATCGCTGGAATCGCTCGCTAAGTCTAGCAACTTGCTCAGTTGTCTGAGAGCCACGTCACTCGGCTCAGTGGTTTATTGAGATGGCGAGCAGCACACTATGTGCACCAATGGACATATGTATTGCTTCGGATGTGGTGATGTCATGGTGGAAGTTGATTCCGACAAATTGAGAAGTTAGTTGAAGTTTCGCTGCCGATGTTGCGGAGCAATGGGAGCAGTAGGGAAGAAGTGTTGTCAACACCGACTCAGATTTGCATGACAACTATCCGTAGGTAGCCTGACGTTACTGGAGAGTTGTGGACGTCTCACTCTCAATATCTGTTCAGGGAATTCAGGCTACACACCAGATTCGCAATCTCATGCTCTCTGATTAATTCTCACCTCGCCGATCATCATAATTGTGCGGCACAAATGCGCTTGTGCAGATTACTTAGGAATCGCTGTCGTGGATGATGGTGATGGTGATGACGATACCACAAAACAGCCTAAATGGGAATCACGCTCCGGGTCTGATCATGATCGGACCAGTAATCCTCCTTTGGTCGACGTCGAAATGCCCTCTACTGCGGTTCAACAGCGAGGAAAACAAACGAATATGCTGCAGCGACATAAATGCGAAGCACTTGAACCACGCAGCTGTTTGAGTGAGAGAGGTAAGCAAAGAGGGCGCTGGCCGGTTTGGTAAAATTGAAGCGGTTCGTACATTGTTAAGCAAGCCACTTCATGATTCCGCAGTAGACGCTTACTGCGGGGTTAGCGGTTATCGTAACGTTGAAGTGATTGACAAAATACACCGTTCTTTCAATATCCACCAGGGTTGGTGCACCAATGTGACAACGAAGTAGGGATACAATAAAAGTTGGTGTACCATGGACGACGGTGCCACACACACACACCGTCTGAACAGTGGTGGAAAGTAGGTATTCATGCGCTAAGTAGGCGATTATGCATGCCCCCTAATCTCACCGAAAGATGAATTGGGGGAAGAGAATGACGATTTCAGTAGATCTCGGCTGTAAACCTAGCAGGAGCAGAGTTTCTTGAAATAACCAAATGCCCAGTATCGGACCGATGGGCAGTAGAAATTCACTGACATAACAGACACTGATAGTAGCAGCAATCTAATTGTGAGTTACTGAGCGCTGCTCCAAGTAGACGGGCTTCAACTCGAAATGTGGACTCTGACCAAATAGCCGTCTGAGGATTAACAGGTATAACAAAACTGAGAATGAAATATAAACCAACGTTTGGGTTTTTGACTATCCATAAGAAGTAAGCAGAACGAACAAATGCGATACTACATTATAACATGAGCTATGTGTTCCTCTAGTGTTTGGGCCTCAGTATATGCTCCGCAACCTTATCTGCTTGCCACATACTACAGCAGAAAGAATAACCTACACACCCTCTGTCAAACATGACAGATATAACATGGAGACTTGTTGTACTCAAAGGTTGGTAGCAAATACGAATCCTGCCAGAACGAAGTGGCCACGATATTGATAGTGCCTGAGTCGATCGTGAGCAAGCGTACTACGCACAGATGAGATAAGCTGAAGGCAGCGATGGCTTGTTTTCATCGCAGTTCAGGCTTCGCGACGATTTCATCCGGAATCGAAGCTCAGAATGACAATACAACCAGGACGCATGCATAAAGCGAAGGAACCGTGCAAGACTGACATAGAGAAAACACTTCATACATACTTGGTAACCTGGATGATAAACACGTTGTGATGAAAGTGTACGATAACACAAGTGAAGAAGCACGGGGCGCGAGTTATCGAACCGGTTGTAAGACACTAGTGCAAGGTGTAAGATCAGTCCCACACACACACCACACACAGGCTTACCTGCTTTGTCAAATGCGGCCGGCTGGGTAAGTGGGAAAGATGCTCCGAGGCCTTCGTAATCCGAATAGTGCAGACCTGACGGATCATCGGGTACCGCCTGAAGATCTAGCCAACTGGAGTGGCAGGTGATCTTCGGAGGAGCTGGCGGGGACATGAGTGAAATAACTGATACCAACTGTTCAAGACCACAATAGAGTTCGTAAACAAAAGCTAGGTGACCTGGTATTGGAAGAGCTGATGAATTTGAACATCTGGGAACTGATCGCTGTGAAACCCAGCGATATATATATATATATATATATATATTGTATATATATGGAGAGTAAATGAATTAACGAAAACGATGAAAACCAAAAGGGGGTACAGCTATACCAAAAAGGAGACAGAACATTTTTGTTTCCACGTCCTTTTCTGTTTTCGTTCATTACGATATTTGAAGCGATAGGCATATGAATCATGACAAATTTGCGCACGGTTCTTCTACGGATTTCCGCCGCAACCCATATCTGTAAGTAATAAAAGTCAATGGAATTCCTCATCCTCGCTTCCACAGTAAGAAAGACGCACGAGTCTGACAGGGGCTAAACGTGACGTCAGCAATTTCATCAGCTATACCAAGTGGAAGGCTCCTCACCACACGGTTCCCTCCAGTCCAATCCGGCACGTTTGATTGAGGCGCGGCACAGTGAACTCTCGGGTGCCATGCGTAAGACGTGATCGAACCACCTCAACTGGCGCAGCAATACAAGTTTGTTGAAGAGAATACTCGCATACCTCAGGACGCGATGTCTAAGATCATCCTTGTGAAGTGGAGGTGTTGCCAGCAGACACCAGCGAGCAATCGTCGAGACAGTACATTAATACAGCGTCGCTCTTTGCTTACAGTACGATAGAATGCAATTGGGCACGTGGTCCCTCCACATACAGTAACAATCAATTTCTTCGTAGGCCAGGATGCAGCATGAAACAGATGTCAAGTGCAAGGAAACTGAGATGCTCTAGAGAAGAAAGCATAACAAAAAGCACATAAGTAAGCGAACATTCGGTTGCGTTTAAATTGAGCACATATGCGTCCGGAATACATGTATAATAATTTGTGACTTGTGTGACCTCCAAACCAAAAAACTGAAGTACTCAGAATGCTCGAGCGATGGATCGAGTGGACGCCGCAAACAACCACTGCAGACCCGTGAAAACGACCCGTGTCATGTACCACAGGAAATCATCCGGTCAGTGAAAATATCAAAGACTGCACGGTGATTCCAATTAAGGCATGCCCTGCCACAAATGGCGGAGAATTTCCAGGCAATGTTCAAGTAGCCCTTTGCGCCTGAGCCTATTCGGGGCCAGATGGAGCAGATTGGACATTTTATCTGAGCAGGACACTGGAATCGCGGTCAAATTCCTCGACCAAATATGTCTCACTACTACGGATTTTGCCGCAACTGCAATATTTGAGCACGGTGGTGAGATCTTCGGCGAAAATTGGCTCATCCGCTGGAACGAGCATGGAGAAACTGTAAGGTTACGATAGATAGGAACAGCAATGGTAGCATCAACACAGTGTTGGCTACATGGCGGTCAGTCTGATGCATTGTGACGAAGTTTTAGTACTACTAGTAATAATAGCAACAGGTATCTTTCCCAGCAAATGGGAAGCGGCGTCCATATTTGAGACATATCAAATCTATACTTGTGGTACTATGCTCTTGCGTGGGCGATATGCAGTTGTTTGCTTGTCTGTCTGTGATCCTGACAATGTAAATGTCTCAGATGCTTGTGTTTAACGTTGAGCTGGATGGTATAATTTAGCTTTAAGAATACTGTGGATATTGAGGGCTGTTTACATTGCATGTGTTTTTCTGTCTCAGACATTAGACGTCATCTAGGTCCTCAGGAACAAAAGATCATAATCGTGTCCGGGTTGATGTAGCTTCCGAGCTTATCACGAATTCTCACATTCTGAGGTTACCTGATTGTGGTTGGAAGCAGATTCCACAGGGCAGCATATCTGATTAGAAAGAAATTAGACGATGGATTCGTCGTGCATCATGCTCTAGCCACAGTAAAGTCTTTGTTACGAAGGTCCTGTATGGAAGTCTGCTGCGACGTTAGTGTGGGTAGATTGCAATAGGTATGGCCATGAATTAGCTTGCACAACAGTATCAAGTTATGCCTTAGTCTTCGCAACCAAAGTGGATCGAGATGGAGTTGCTGGCACTAACTGCAACGCGGCGGATTCGAATCGGGAACCTTATGGTTACAAACCAGGCGCGCAGACCACTTGGCCACGGGCCGACAGTTTAAGTGGTGGTTGAACGGTGATCAGCGTACGCCGTGAAGGTTGACGTTCCAGTTATGTGGACGGAAACAAATATATGGTCGCAAGCAAGCGAGGATACACAACCCAGCCACGTAGACATTAAACTGATTTGAAAGAGCGTCTGTGAAATAGACTACATATCACTTGAACATTCAAGAGCAACGGAGTAGTCAGTACAATCACATGGACCACGTAGATCATCACTATTCAAAGACGAGGATTCGGGCAATGAGTGTCGAGGAACACAGCTATGAAAACCACCACTGAGATCTGATCGATACGTTAGTTAGTACCTGATGACACATCTTTCGGTCGCAAAATTGAAATATTCGACACATTTGAACCGCGTTTCTCTCATTCACATCGACTGACTGTCGAAGTGTTTGCAGGTCGACGAAATTAAACTTAGTGGGGATTTGAAAATGGACAGTGAACAGTTTCACGAGGAAAAGGCACAGTTTACCGAGTAGAATGAACTGAGTTCAAGCATACGTTACGCTTCTTTGATAGCGGTAGCCTCAGTAACAAGGACGATATCTCATTGGGGCAATACAAGTACTCCGATGATGGCTGTGTTCATCCCCTAAAATGCAGTGTGAGCTAAGGAACAGAAGTATGCCTTTTGTATTGCTTTACATACGTGTTGATTGGTACCGTCCATACAAGTAAGTTGATTATTTGAGTAATCCTTGATCGCAACACGTTTTTACATCGTTCTGATGTGCGATTTGACAACCACGCTAATCAGACAGTGCTGTGCTTGAAGTTGGTTCATTGAATTCGATGGGTTGTATATGACAGAAAAATATTGTTATCGGTTTTTTCACACTGCTCAGTGCAGATGATTTTAGTTTTAGCGGCACTGCGTTCCACATGGGACCATTACGGTTGCAGTGGACAGCATAGTCCTTGTTGTTTAGTATATAAGTGTCTAACAACCTTTTGAGACATGATACACCGGAGTGCATGTTACGTTATTTATTATTCACACTGAGGTGGCATCCATATTGTCCCTACCAAAATCGCTTCCCAACGGACACATGGTGCATTTCAGGGGGGAAGGGGGTTAGCGAAAATACGGGATGTGGGAAAACAATTCTAAAACCACGCACGAAGGTTCAAATGACTAAACCATTCAATGTACCATTCAATGCACTGTAAGTAGCACCTGAGGACAAGCATGCAGTGTGATCGATCCCCGTGTCAGCTTCTAGCTCCAGCTACCAAGATGTTTCGTGTCAGCTGGTGTGGACAGTTCATTTCTCCGCATCACGTGACACCCAGCTATTGCTCCAAGGCCACTCGGATAACCTTCACACACTATTCCGTTCTGGTTAGTGTGTTTGCCAATTCGTTTAACACCATCTGTCACCTGTTGGACCTCATTATTGTTTCCCTGACATATTTGACCCCTTAGTTGTACCTAGTCCACCGAGGCATGATCCGCACAGGTACTCTATCCACACTGCTCCGCACCGCACACGTGTTGCTACACCGCGTGAGTTGGTTGTGTAGTTAACCAATCGGCTACTAGCATCATTCTAAGGTCCTTTACAGGTCGTCACTCGTGGTTGCCGTGCCGCCCGATGTTGGACGTAAGCAACGGTTTGTGATTGGTTGTTATCTTTCAGATTAGGCATTTTGTTGAGGTGTATATTGTGGTTTACCAACGTTTTACATTTCTGCGTCTGTTACTTGAATTGCTTCCACTGAGCGACGCTTACAGGTGAAATTCTTATGTACAAAACGGTTGCACTCTTCCCTTCGTCTGTCGCAAGATCAACCTTGACATGGTGCGATGGTTTCCGTGCTATGGTGATGTATTGGCCTACGCTGTGTGCCTTCAGAGTCACTAACCCCACAGATAAATGGGCAGTAGCAATGCCCACTAAAATATCAGCCATCTGGGACAAACTTACGAACCATAAGCTCACTTCAATCGGCTAGGGGATAGGTGCTACGAGTTGTGTCGCAAATGTGTTAACTCTAGCCTGAAGCCAAGTAAATCCTGTTAGGATTCAAATCCACCAAAACCCATTTGTGGTTGGCGTTGTTGTTGGTTCGGTACTGTCATAAAGGTTGCATGAGCTGCTCCGACTTTCGGAGGACATATGTGTGCGGACTCGGGTAGTTCCTGGTGAGATTCTTCAATCACGCTTCCGGGACGTACCTGCTCATTACCGTGTGGGTTGGATCCCTGAGTCGAAGTCTCCGGGCGACCATCATATCAGCCTCCATTTATCCCGCTGCGTTGTGAGTCGGACCACCGCGTCAGAGATTAGATGTGTGACACCTAGGAAAAATCCCTGTTTCGTACCGTAGCGGAGGAGTGTCAATCGTCTATGAAGTCCAGTCCAGTCACTGCTCGTTCTCCGTCTTTCTTCCAGTTAAACGATAGACAACCGCCACTAAATTTGCAGGTAGTCATTGATGCGTCTTAACCGTTCTGACCGAGGACCATATTTCAGTTTCTTTCGTAGTTTGTGTTTTCGGTTAGGTATGTCAATAGACGGTTTCATCCGCCCACTGCTCCCTATCTTGAATTCAATGTGTGCATTGTATCCGAAATTCGCATACAGGAAAACGGTCGTAGCAAACCCTCGATTGCCTGGTTTCTGATCTGTCAAGAATGGCTACACACAGTGTCTGACTACACCGAGTTGATGAATCTCGGTATTTACAATGTGTCGCTCATAAGGAAACGACGGATGCAGCTTGATCGAATGAATTCCAGCGAATGATCGCAAGACGTCGAAACTACATGGTAAATAGACCACGTGGAGAGGAAAATAAGTTAAATACCAATTGACCGCTGCTTGCAGGCCATCCAAGATGAGTTATATCACCGCGTCTCCTTGATTGTCCATTTGACCAGGAGCACGAATGTAGTGACCGTTTTTGGCGACATTATTGTTCTAGTGAGTTACCGATTGGAATCATAAAATTGCTTTATAGGCCATTTCGAATTCGACAGTTGTGGATGAGTTTTCGAAGAGCTGATCGGTTTGACTGACATAAATTTGTTAATTCCACTGATTACCCGTTTAGGGCCCTTATAATTGAACAGTAGGGTTGGAGGATGGTGGAAGCCATGATATGGGGAAGGCTGGTCCCGTGAAAGACGTTATCTTATTGCTCTTACTCATCCAGAGCGATGGTCCAAGGAAACCCTCGGTTGAGGAGACAGTAGATCAAAAATGTGGATAGTTAATCCATTCATATTTGTGTCAACAATACAGTTGGGCGTAGCAACCCAAATTTGAGACTCAATGAATTTGTTTCTAGGCCATGGTTTGCTGACCCGTCTGAACTTGAGCGATACGTTTATGCTGCATTTCCTTCATCGTAAGGGATTTCATATGGACTTATCCTGTCGAAACAACACAGTGCACAGAATCGAAGACCTTCATTCATCTTGGTGGTCATCCGCCCGGTCTCTAATTTTGAACATTTTTAAATTCCGTGGTTTTCCATTCTCTCTTCTTCAAGCTGATAACCTGCAAGTTGTTTCGAATGTCAATTCTTCACTGACGGCGAGTGATCGACACGTACCCGGACATCAAATGTTAACTATTACGGCTACCTTTTATCCTGAAACCTATACTGGTCCACTCATGTCACCGGAACGTTGCAAAAGGTTAGATGGCTATCATTTTATGTTTCATTGGCTTTACTATACCCCAGCAATATTTCCTAATCTGCTCAAAAAATGATTACATACTGTTTATACGGTTGTTGAAAGGTGTTTCCAGCTGCAGTGGACTGTCTAGATAGGCACTTGTTACTTTTATCCTCAACAAACGTGTAGACAACTGCACTAGCTTTTCCTTCAAAGTTCTAAACGACCCTTTCCATCCACTATATGATGCTCTATCGAAAGCGCTATCTGATTCTTCTACAAACCCCTAATTTAGGATCTTATTTTCTCATACGGCTTCTCACGACAATTCTATCCTACCGTACTTGTCACCATTATTTGTGGACCCAACGGAACTCATCAGCATGATGCACAACTCCTTGCTTGAGTGGTACACCAACATAATTTGTGCTACACAATGTATATATGCTTTTATCCATTAATCTCAAGTAGTTCTTCATTCGCAGTGTTAGTGTAAACTACTGAAAATGTACCTGTGCACTTGCATAAACTTTCTTATGACTTGATTTGATTTCCTATAATAAGTTGGATATGCGTAAAAATTGATTATGGTTAATTTAGCCTACTTTGCCCGTCCTTGGTGTAGTCGTAACTATTTTTGACAATCTGTCCATCTTTCTGATAGACTCGCCCGATTAATTAGCCCGGTATAGCAAAAATAATTTGAACTGATTGGAAAACTCGGTTCCATGGGATTTCGCTGTACAATGATTAGATAATGCACAGTTGGACTGTGTGTCGCTCCATCAAAGAATATACCGTTATTTTTTATTGACCACAACCATAGTACCCATGTAAGCGTATGGTATTACCTTTACATATATGATCTGTTGCAAATATGGACGCAGATTTTCCTTTGACGAAAATTACGCCTGTTATTATTATTATTGTTATTATTATTATTATTATTATTATTATTATTATTATTATCTGGCGAATTTGCAGCAGTGAGCAGCCACCATGACGATGGACCATGTTCCCTGGTATCACTGTTCTACTGGTACGAAATCTTGATCAAAACATCCACAATGTTAGTCACCATACCGCAGTTGTCACGACAGAAATCCAAATGGTTATGAGGAATGTGTGGATACCTAGAGACATAAGGCTGTCACGTTGATGGAACTGCGTCACTACCTCTTCCGCTGATTCCTCAAGATACCCTAACATTCCCGAGAAGGTTAGCAAACACAAAGAGAAGGAAATTTCTGTTTGGTTTCTAGAGGGACTTACAGGAAATAGATTTGTTCAAAATCATGCACAAATCCATCCACCAGTTCCAAAGTATAGTACAAGATTTGGAACTGGTGGATGGATTTGTGCATGATTTGAAAAAATCTATTTCCTGTGAGTCCCTCTAGAAACACAAAGAAAGGATATTTCTGTTTGGTTTCCTAGAGGGAATTAGAGGAAATAGACTTGTTCACAATCATGCACAAATCCATCGATCAGCTCCAAAGTATATTACAAGATTTCGAATTTCAAGTTTATTTCACATCATCCTGCAGGCAGTTGCTGAAGTGGTCAATCTTGAATGACTCCAAAATATTAGGAACTACTAAAACCAATTCTTTCGCTGTGTCAAGAGAACTTTTATGAAGGTATCGGGACGTTGGTAAAACCCAGTTCAGGGCAACTGTCTTCAAATCGTCAAAGAGATGCTAGCTGCACATAGTACGCTCGATTGGATTTCACAGTTGCCTTCAGTTTTCGTACGTCTCATGTGAACAACCAGTTTTCATCGTGCAACAGCACCTGCTCTATGGGAAGTTTGGAAGAGTCTATACATAGTCTATTCTTGTGGGTAATTGGTAATTTCCAAGACATTCACGAGATCCGCAATAGCAGACCAGAATGCTTTTCTTTTTGAGAAAAGGTTCAAAACGCTAGTTGTGCTTTCGATTTGAAGTATTTCTAACATGTAGCAGATTCCAATATTAGAAATTTAATTTAGAAATTCTACCTTGTTTTTGGATAAATCCAAAGCACAAACAGGGCCATTTAGATTTTTCTGTGATGTTTATGTTGGCACGGTGATGCACTGTGGTGTATGTAAAAACCCCTCAAACTGTATCCCATGAAGCTTAAAATATTTCAGATGCTCCGGTTTCCCACTGAGCTTTATACAACATACTGATATCAGCGTACTTCAGCAACAGCCTGGCAGTAGTATGGCAAGGCATCAGAAAATTGCGCAATACATTATGGATGATGGTATGGTGCAAGGTGATGCACCCAGCCATCATTCTAGGCTTGTTTAGATGGCTGTTCCAGTCCAACTGGGTACATTCATACGGTGAAACACTGTAAGGAATTCTATAAAATATCATCTAAACAAGAGCCGTAAAAATGAGTCATGGTAATATGCCTTTTCAGCGCATCAAAACGCTAGAGATCAGGACTTCTTAAGCCGGTAACAAATTCAGTGTTGCCCAGTGTTACCGTTGCCACGAAACTATAGGTTTTCGCAACAGCTGACTGACTGAAGTCAGATTGGCTCCCGTCCACATGATGAGGACTCGCACAATCCTGGAAGGCAACATATACGCACAGTCGACTCAGCGTGATGGGCTCCGTTGACTTGAAAACCGCCTTAAATTTAGCTTAGCGTTGTTAGCTAGGGCTGCTGCTGCGGCTGCGGCTTCCGTGGGAGGAGTTGGATCTGTTTAGGATGTTCCCGTTCCATTCGACTTGTAGCAACATATCACAGTAAATATCGTCTTGCATTTGAATAGAAAGTTCAGTTGTTAAACAGTGGTCACAATTCCTGATTCACTGCTCATTAGTTTATGATTTATTTAACACGACCAGTTACAGAAGTGAGTGGTCAGTGACCAAATGGCTAATGAGACTCAATAAGGCACCCGCCAAACAATGGAAGATGATTCCAGCTGAATTGCGCGAGTCTCTCGTCATGCGTAGCACACTGTATCAAGAGGATTATGTGTACACAGAAAAGACGTTGAGTACTGTAAGTAGGAAGGCACTGCATAACTGAAAAATTCGCCTATATGAATCGAATTTCTGATCAAATTAACCATTCCCGGTTCGGTAGAAAATGTAGTCCATACGCTCTGCATTGCCATAGAATCGTGTCCAAACGTCATTTCGGTACGGGTTATCCGCGCGATCACAAGTACAACCCTCGATTTCCAATTTATCTACTGGAATATGTTGTGGGTTGACCGACACCTAGGGATCAGGGAAAACGAACACGGAAAATAGTTGGCATCAAGTTGAGCGTGATGGACGCATTTCGGCATTTCTCCTCGGAACGATGACGGAATCAGTATACAGCTTCCGTTGAACGGCAAACCATCAAAAGCAGAGGGTTGGTCCCGAAAATTGAAGTAAGGTATTAATTCTTTCGGCAGCTTCTTCTTTTTCTCTGGCCATCCATTTGGAATAACATATCGCAAAGCTGAAATCGTTGCATCTTCCTCTGTGTGGTGCCCTTTTTTCCTTTATTCGATCTTCTGTCACTATCAGGTGTTGTACTATTTTTACTGCTTCGACCTATTCGAATTATGCTCTGGTACCGGCAGATGAACTGCTGTGGACCAGGCGTATACACAATATCCGCTTCGTACTTTTGAAGCTGGTTAAGCAAAAGCTGAAGGCGACGAGGAATAACGTGCAGCGTTTTCCTGATTATTGACACAAGCGGTTTGTGGTCGGTATACAACGCTGTCTTTCTTCCGAAAGTATACTCGTTGAAACGCTCCGTGGCATAGACTACCGCAAGCACACAATTTGCGCATAGCGCTGCTCGGTCACGGTGAGTGCTCGACGGCGCAAATCCAATGATCTTCCATTCTGTAAGATAACAGCACCTATTCCGTCTTGGCTGCTATCACACTGCACCTCCACAGACTGCGCTCGATCGTAATACCCGAGTACAGGCACAGTGCTGATGTGGTGCCTAATAGTTTCGAACGCGATTTGCTATCCTCTTCCCCAACTCTACTTTACTCCTTTGTGAGTTAACTTCCAGTGGCCGCCATCCTGATCCTGATAACGTCCAAGCCATTCTGAAGAGGCCAACTCTAATGGATGTGTTACAATTGCGGTCCTTCCTAAGTCACATAAGCTACGACAGTGCCTTACTCTCATCACTATACGATGCCCGATCCCCGCTTAGTCGGTTGTTTCAGAAGTATTTTCCTTGGCCCTGGTCCCCGCATGCGAGAAGTCTTTCGTTCGTCCGAAATCCATGCTGTGTTTTGACGTAATACTGACACATTACGCACGAAGTTTGCTGATTTTGGTCTCTGCTAACGCTTATACCTACTGGATTGGAGCCATTCTCTCCCAGATCGTTCCGAAAAATCGGTTTTGCACGTTCACGTTCACTGAAACCAGCTGGGGAGAACCATGGTCATATTGAGAAGGAAGCACTGGCCATCGTGTCAACAGCAATCAAATCAACAACAGCAGTACATCAGCCATTTGCACTGATGTTTCGCTGCCATACAATCATGATGACATATGAAATAAAAAATAATAAGAGGGGGAGAAGAGGTCTTACCTGAAAAACTTGATGCCCTCAGCAAACATTCGGGGTTAAGGCGCCTGCACTTTGTGTAGATCACATACTGTCACAAACAGCTGGCGATCGTGCAAAGATAAGGAGGCATCGGCGAGACAGTTTCCTTGCGGCTTTCACTGTCCCGCGTCATAATCAGCCATAACCCCGCAGATAAGTCAGCACCAAACACACTTTAAACAGGCAATCCGAGTAGAAGACGGCAGCAGACGCGCCACTAGTGTCGATTGCGAGCCATGTCCTGTAAAGTCTCGAGCCAAGCACAAGGCGAGTCATCGTGTTAGCTTTCACCAAGTTCCACAAGGTGCTGTGCGCTTCAGCTTGTCGAAACGAACCTACTGTGTAGTCAAATATAGCCACTGCTTTTATTATGTAATAACTCTCGTCCCCCTAGTTATACTAATACGCCTTGGTTTCCGGAACTAACGAAGGTCATCGGCGAATGTTGTATTCACAGAGGAGTCTATCGCAAACGCTAGTATGTCCGTGTTCGTTAGTTAACTTGTACTGAAACAAAATCACCGAGGGTGGCGGCAAATGCCTTATCCGCAAGTAGTGCGTACCCCTATTCATTTCTATGAATTGCATGCTGCACTTCTATAAGTTAACGTCGATGAAATGTAGGGTCCTTGGCTATATGCTGGAATGCTTGAGCGGCTGTACGTCATAGGCAACCACCATGTTTCGGACTCTGACCAGCACGTTCGTGAAATCACTTTTGGTGTTTCATTGGGCGACTGTTAGTTATCTGACGCCTAATATCGATTGCTTGCATGCTCTGTGTTTAGACCTACACCCCTCTTTGGAAAATGCTTTACCTATAATGGTAGCTCTCCGTTGGTTTGTCAGTAAAACAAAAGAGACACTTGGCCTTGTTTGCGCCTTAGCCTATTCACAAAACTCGATTTCACTTCACTTGCTGGTCCCCTTCAATGCAATCTATCACCGTATGCTGTTCGTTTTCCCTGATCCCTAGGTGTCGGTCAACTCACAACGTATTCCAGTAGATAAATTGGAAATCGAGGGTTGTACTTGTGATCGCGCAGATAACCCGTACCGAAATGACGTTTGGACACGATTCTATGGCAATGGAGAGCGTCTTCACTGTATTTTCTATCGAACCGGGAATGGTCCATTCGATCAGCAATTCGGTTCATGTAGGTGAATTTTTCAGTTGTGCAGTGCCTTCCTACTTACAGTACTGAGCGTCTTTTCTGTGTGTACCTGATCCACTTGATACAGTATGCTACCCATGACGAGAGGCTCGCGCAATTCAGCTGGAATCATCTTCCATTGCTTGGCAGTGCGTTCTTGAGTCTGATTAGCATTCCTTTAGTCTCAATTTTTACACACCACATTATACTTATTCGACTCTTATTCGCACTGTATCCAGTTTGCAACTTCATTATTTGTACTTACATTACAAAACTATGTCCCTTCGGCAACTACCAGGCAGTGTCGTCTGAATACTAAATTGTATTTGTTCCTTTCACATATCAGGAAAATCCCTGGTCGATTTTGTCTTATCTGAGTAATTGTGAATATTACAATTAACCAGCTTCTTCTCACGGGCCATCCACTGATTGCCCGTTGCTGCATCCGGAACAATCGCATGAGTACAATTTGCGCGCAACTGTGTGCGTATGATTTTACTTGGTCCCATCCACCTTTCATGCTCCCTCCACTGCTGGACCGGACCACGATAAGTGGCAAGTATCATCACTCCGTCCGAGTGACTGTACGCCGAACGAAATTATTCGCCACCCTCCCACACATACACACCGCACCCAGTAATACGATGCAGTGCATCTGACCTCAAGCAAACTGTGACGGAGCCGTACGCTATCAGGCGCGTCCCCAGGTTGCCGATTGGGGAATGCCTTCCTTGTGGAGGTAACCGCGAATAAGTCTCGTCTGCTTTGCAGGCGAGATGAATAAACACTCGCGGACAATCATCGGCAGCGTCTCAGAACGTGGGGAGTTCTGGGCTGCTCATCTGGTTCTCCCTCAAATACCACATGAACTCTTACGGCGCTGTGTCAAAGCTAAAGTGACAGGCTGTATGGTCAGTGATCACTCACTTCTGTAACTGGAGGTGAGTATTTAACGAAGGGCGGATGAACAACCTTGCTAGCCACCGGCTTCTCTGTGGACTGCAACCGAACACAAAGAAGGCGAATGAGCCACGTGGCTGCCAACGGTCTTCGTTTATCGCCCCGCTGCCTTGCGGATCAGGTCTTTATGACCAAATGCTCGGGGTGAGGTCCCTTAAGTTAACCCCTTCTTCGGTCGGGGCAACCGGGAAACTCAATGCCCACACAACACATGGATCTTCGCATCCCTTCTCCTGACTCTTCCTTCTTATTGTTTCTGGTACTCCTGTTGTGGCACGCTGCCATATGTTTATTGGTTAAGTGTTAAGTAAATAATAAACAGCGAATCAGGAATTGTGACCACTGTTTAGCCACTGAACTTCTATTCAAATCCAAGATGATATCTACTGTGACATGTTGCTACAGGTCGAATGTAACGGAACACCCTGAACGGATATCAAGTCCTCCCACGGAAGCCGCCGCGGCAATCTGACGTTGTCAGTCAGCTGTTGCGGAGACCTATTGTTGCGTGGCAACGGTAACACTGAGCAACTCTGAATTTGTTACTGACTTAAAAGATCCTGATCTCCAGTGTTTGCTGCGCTGAACTGGCATATGACCATGGCTCTTTTTATCGGCTGTTATTTATATGTTATTACATAGAGATCGTTACAGTGTTTCACCGTAGGAATGTACCCGGTTGGACTGGAACAGCCATCTAAACAAACAAACATGTTCTGTTTCCTTTTTAGTAGAGCTGTACTCCCATTTGGTTTTCATCGTTTTCGTTGATTCATTTACTCTCCATATATATATATATATATATATATATATATATATATATATATATATATATATATATATATATATATCGCTGGGTTTCATAGCGACCCGTTCCCAGATATTCCAATACATCAGCTCTTGCGCTACCAGGTCACCTAGCTCTTGTGCACGAAATTTATTGTGACCTTGAACAGTTTGTATCAGTTATTTCACTCTTGTTCTCGCCAGCTCCTGCTGAGGTCACCTGCCACTCCAGTTGGCTAGATCTTCAGGCGGTACCCGATGATCCGTCAGGTCTGCACTATTCGGATCACGAAGGTGTCGGAGCCTCTTTCTCACTTACCCAGCCGGCCGCATTTGACAAAGCAGGTAAGCCTGTGTGTGGTGTGTGTGTGTGTGTGTGGGACTGATCTTACACCTTGCACAAGTGTCCTACAACCGGTTCCACAACTCGCTCCCCGTGATTTTGTGCTTGCAGTTATCGTACACTTTCA